AATTTTCAGGCTGGACAAAAGTGGTAAGTGGTGTCCCTCAGGGTTCTGTTTTGGGACCACTTCTATTTAACATATTTATAAATGATCTTAGGCATTGAAAGCCATGTATCAGTGTTTGCAGATGACACAAAACTTTGTAAAGTAATAAAATGTGAGCAGGAAATTGCTTTGCTGCGGAGAGATTTGGATAGATTGGGGGACTGGGCACTAAAATGGCAGATGAAATTTAACATAGAGAAATGCAAAGTTATGCACTTCGGGGTTAAGAATGCACAAGCAACTTACACACTAAATGGTAGTGAATTAGGGATAACCACACACGAGAAGGATTTGGGAATTGTTACAGACAACAAATTAGGCAGCAATATGCAATGTCAATCTGCAGTTGCTAAGGCCAGTAAGATTTTGTCATGTATAAATAGGGGCATAAATTCTCGGGATGAAAATATAATTTTTGCCTCTTTATAAATCGCTGGTAAGACCACACCTTGAATATGCTGTGCAATTTTGGGCGCCTGTTCTAAAGAAGGATATCATGGCACTGGAGAGGGTCCAGAGACGAGCTACAAAATTGATAAAAGGAATGGAGCATTTTAGTTATGAAGAAAGGTTAAAAAAATTTAATCTGTTTAGTTTGGAAAAACGGCGCCTGAGAGGGGATATGATAACTTTATACAAATATATTCGGGGCCAGTACAAACCTTTATCTGGAAATCTATTCATAAACAGGGCTATACATAGGACACGAGGTCACACATTTAGGCTGGAAGAAATGAGATTTCATCTAAGGCAAAGAAAAGGTTTTTTTACAGTAAGAACAATAAGGATATGGAATTCTCTGCCTGAAGAGGTGGTTTTGTCAGAGTCCATACAGATGTTTAAACTGAAATTGGATAAATACTTACAAAAACATAACGGGATATAATTTCTAATTAGTGGGGTAATAGCTGCTTGATCCAAGGAGACATCTGACTGCTATTTTGGGGTCAAGAAGGAATTTTTTCCTAGTTTGTGGCAAAATTGGAAGCGCTTCAGACCAGGTTTTTTGCCTTCTTTTGGATCAACAGCAACAACATATGTGAGGAAGGCTGAACTTGATGGACGCAAGTCTCTTTTCAGCTATGTAACTATGTAACATAAACACAAACACATATACTGACTTACATAAATAAACAGACACAGACATACATGTACACTGACATACATACACACACAGACACACACACAAACACACACAGACATACATACTGACCTACATACATACACAATACACATACATACAGACACACACAGACATACATACAGACTTACATACACACATACACAATACACATACAGACACACACAGACATACATACCGACATACATACAGATACATACATACACACACAGACATACATACTGACATACATACACATACATACAGATGCATACACACACACAAACAGACATACACACACAGAGATACATACTGACTGAAATACATTCACATACATACATACATACACACAGATAGACATACATACATACATACACACACACAGACATACACACACACATACTGCCACACACACAGAGGGACATCCATACACACTGACATACATACATACACACACATACTGACATACATCTATACACACACACATACTGACATACACACACACACACACAAATACTGGCATACATAAACACACACACACACACATACATACTGACATACATACATACACTGACATACATACACATACATACATACAGACTGACATACATACATACACACACATACTGACATACACACATACATACACACACTGACACACTGACATACACACATACTGACATACACACATACTGACATACATATATACACACATACTGACATACATACATACACACACATACTGACATACATACACATACACATATACTGAGATACATATATACACGCACATACTGACATACATACATACATACACACACATACTGACATACATACATACATACATACACACATACTGACATACATACATACCCATACGGGTGGCCCTGAGTGCTTGGGTCAGGTTCAGGACCATGGAGGGCTGGACCGGCCCCGGGGCCTTAGTTTGAGGACCCATGTTTTAAAATATCAGTGGCTGTACTTTGCTATAATGTATTGTTTGAGGGGATTGATTATGAAAAAGACTATTGGATATCAATCTGCAGCCAGTGTTCCAAACAGTTAGAATATCTGCTGTCCGTAGAATACTCAGGTAATGTAACTGTTCATAGTGATGGAAGGATCTAGTACCAAAAACCTAAATATATATAAAGCTCAATAGATATATATCTACTTTATTAAAGGAACACTCCATGCACCATGACCACTACAGTCTGCTGTAGTGATTCATAACTTTGCTGGGGTCTACCAGGCACCTTGTCAACCCAGGTGATCCCTGCATTGACCTAGCATAAAAGAAACCATTGTTTCAAACCAACACAGATTTGTTTTTCTTAAAGGGACACTATAGTCACCAGAATGTAGTTGTTCTGGTGAGTATAATCATTATATGCAGACATTTTAATGCCTTTGCCCCATGGAACACCTTGCACGCCAAAGCATATCAGTCTATTCTGTATTAAAGACCTAGAGTCCACATCTAGTATATATTGACTTCAGATTCATTATCACTGCTATCACATATAAACTGAGACATATTGCTTCCTAACCACAGTAGAGAAATGGTGAATACTTTGTGATCCTGAAATGATTTTTTCTGTTAACAGAACACAATTTAAGCAAAGTATGGTGCCATTAGCATCGTTACAGAGCATATAAGACTCTTCGCTAATGATCAAAAAGAAACAGTAGATATATATATATATATATATATATATATATATATATATATAAAATAAGGAACCAAATTATAAAACATGCAGAATTCAACCCACTCATTCAACTATAAACTGCATTCAAAGATCTTTTTTTAAAAGCACTTGACATGGGCAAAAATACTGGGAATTATACTGTAACTAAATTCAGGTCAAAAGTCGTATGTTCTGGTTTAAAGTCAAAGTTAAAAAGAACTTTGCAGGCTTTAAAGTGAGTGGGCTGATTTTTGAATGTTGTATCAATTGCTCGATTATATATGCAAAGTATATGTGTGTGCTTTATTAATCCCTGTTTATATCTTTAATAAATCAAAAGTCTCGTCTTCTCTTATTGTTCAATGGTCAGTTGTGCTGGCCATGTCTGCCTCAATGATCTGGTGGTAACCCTTGAAACTATAAATAGCTACACATTAATTTAAAATGTGAATTTGTGATCCAACAAGTCACCGTCTAACACATATTTAGTTTACACAATATTTACACTGATTAGCCACAACATCAAAACCACTGATAAGTGAAGTAAATAATATTGATTATGTCATTGCAAAGGCACCTGTCAAGGGTGGGATAAATGAGGCAGCGAAAAGATCTCAGTAACCTAGACAAGGGCCAAATAGTGATGGCTAGATGACTAGGTCACAGCATCTCCAAAATGGCAAGTCTTGTAGGGTGTTCCCGGTATACAGTGGTTAGTACCTACCAAAAGTGTTGCAAGGAAGGACAACTGGTAAACCGGCATCAGGTTCAATGGTGCCAAGGATCATTCATGAACATGGCGAGCGAAGGCTAGCCTGTCTAGTCCGATCACAGAGAATAGCTATGGTAGCTCAAATTGCTGGTAAACTGACAGCTGGCCATGATAGAAAGGTGTCAGAGCACACAGTGTGTTGCTGTTTGTTGTGTATGGGGCTGTGTAGCCGCAGACCAGTCACAGTACCCATGATAATATGAGCATCAAAATTGGATATTGGTGCAATGGAAGAAGGTTGCCTGGTCTAATGAATCACATTTTCCTTTAGATCATCTGGATGTCAGGGTGCGTGTCTGTCATTTACAGGGGGGTGGAGGTGGAGAGATAGCAGCAGGATGCACTATGGGAAAAAGTCAGGCCAGCGGAGGCAGTGTTATTCTCTGGGTAATGTTCTGCTGGGAACCCTTGGGTCCAGGCCTTCATGTGGATGTTACTTTGACACTTACCACCTACCTAGAAATTGTTGCAGACCACGTATACCCCTTCATGGCAATGGTGTTGCCTGATGGCAGTGGCCTCTTTCAGCAGGATAATGCACCCTGCCACATTGCAAACAAGGAATGGTTTGAGGAACATGACAAAGAACTCACAGTGTTGCCTTGGTATCATGATCTACAGGATATTAGGCAGGTAGTTTTAATGTTGTGGCTAATCAGTGTAAATGAGCTTGATTTATGACCTTACTATGTCTTTATAGGCAGTATTGATTTCAGATTCATTATCACTGATATTGCATATAAACTGGCACATAGTGCTTCCCAACCAGGGAAAGAAATGGTTAATAGTTTGTGATCTTAAAATTATTTTCTCTGTTAACAGCGCAAATTAGAGCAACCAGTGGTGCCATTAGCATCATTACAGAGCAAATCAAACTCTTTTTAGCTAATGATAAAAAAGTAACAGTCAAATCTGTTAAGATATCTTCCTGAAGATTAAAGTTGCTTTATACATAATTAGTTTGCTTTTTATAGAGAAGGAATAAAGAGCAGGCAAATTCCAAAATCAATCATATTATTCCATTTCAGATTAAAGCTAATTTTATTGTTATGCAATTTAATAAAAGAGTTTTAATAAAGTCACGAAGTAAGCATCATTTTTCTACCAGACATTACACACTGAGCACTCTCTGCTTTGTTCTAGTTTGACATATGGTGAAAGTCGTTCTCTGCAATAATGAACGGTGGGTTGGAGCTAATTGCCGCAGAAGCAGTAATTTCGTTTACACTTACTTGTTCTCAGAGGGCTCTGATGATAAGTGCTTTGTTCTATAAATGTATAAATGTGAAATGTCAATGAATTTGTTCTGCTAACGCTGTCACTATTCATTACAGGACATGATTTATATTCACCAAAACAACACAACTGAATGTAATTCCTGTGTTTCCAGTGCAATGGTAAAAATGCAGTGTTGTATTTAACCACATTTAATAGTCACTCAGGAGAATATTTCAAGAAGTTTAAATTTACTAAGTAGATAAGGACCAGATGTATTTAGGACTAGTATACACTGCTCATCATTCTGTTTGGGCATTTTATTTTTTATATATTTTTTTTATTCCACAATCCCTCCTATTTCTGTTTTCTTCTAAGTTCTGGCAACAACTTGGTTCCTTTAAAGTTTGTAGCCCATGGAGCAGCACAGCTAGGGGGAATGGGCCTTGACATTGCTAGGAGACAGGCATAGAAGATGTGTAGTTTGGAGGATTGGCTAGAGAAAATTGGGGGTGGGGGTTTTAACTATAGAAGTATATATAGGGGCCATTTTAGACCAGGGGCCATCTTAATTTAATCCTCACTTACCTACTTTTGTCCCATACTCCCTTTGTTTTAGTTCCCGTTTGGTCATGGCAGCAGGGGATGGATAGACAAGTTGGGTGTAGGTCATTTCTCCAGATGTAAGATAGTTTTTGTTCAGTTAGGTTAGGTTTGGAAGGGTATTTGTAGGTTCCAGCTCGTTGGTAGTGTGTAGGGTATATCTCGGTATACCCCATCATTGTGAAAACTGGAAAAGCATGCCCTCAGTGGCAATGGTTTATGTTTTATATGTCATTTATATGTTATAATGTGGTATCATTTATTGTGGATGTGGGTCATTGCCTGGGGTAGAATAGTTAAAGGAGTTAGGGTAGATATGTAATGTTTACGGATGTTGACAATGACCTTACATTTTTATGTGTTTATTTTACATTATTAAAGCTGTGATAATTTTACCAAAATAAGGAGTATGAGTATCATTGTGGGGTTCTGGGTTTTGTAAAGCATATGCCAAAAAGGTGATGATGCATATGTTATGGTTCAAAACAGTTTCATAGGCTTCTTTTCCACCTTCCCTCATACTCAGAACTTTCTGTAAAAAATGACTCTATAATAACCACTTCAAAGACCTGTTTCATCCCATTTACATTAAAAGTCACATAAAAAGTCAAGCCCTAATGGATAAAGTGCAAACTAATCTTCTGTTTAACAAAAAATAATCCACAGCCTTTAAAACTACAGCTTTTCGTAATCCTCTTCCAAAATCAAAAGTATTTACGAGTAAGGTGTGTTACAGCCTAGGAACAGCTGGAAGGGCAAGGTTCACAATCCAACCTGTAAATTCAGTCCTCAAAGAATATATTCCCCCATCATTCTTGCATCATGTTCTACAGCTGTTCTTACAATAATTTATGATGACTCGGATATTTATACAAAATACTATCTCATAATTCTGGGAAATTCTACCATTTAAATATGTGCTGTATATAGAAAAATGGCAAGTTTAGAGGAAAGAAACATGTAATAAATAGAAAGTTCATGACATTATATAGCATTTGGCTAAATACATTTTATTCTATATTTACTTTATTCTGTTTTGTGTTTTTTCCATTTTTCTTTTACCTTTTTGGTGATGCTGCTGGTTTATGTTGACTGTTTAAGATATATACTTCTTATTACTAAGTTCCAAGAGAGAATAAAACTGAGTAGATAAAGCTAACTCAATACTTTAGTATAAGTATACTTTTACTGGTTTTCTGATCTCCCATGTATAAAACTATGTGATAACCCATCCATATTGGGGTTGTTTAACTCATTAGCTTGCACTCACTTCTTTCTCTAAAGCCTGACAAAATTCATTTAAAGCTACTATTTTTTCTGTGAGCTAAAATTAAATGACAAATGCCTGGCTGATACCAACAACATGTTACATAATAAGTGTTCCAAAAATTACATACCAGGTTTTATTTTAGTAGGACGTTACATATAGGGAATAATTAGGGGAATGGGATCAACTGGAAAAAGTGAATATAGCTACGTTTATAATTATATTTAGCTTTAGTACCACACTGATTATTTATCTTTGGAATGGAAACATATCTTAATTAGTGATTTCGCGAACGGTTCGCCACAGACTCATCATTGAGTAAACTTTGACCCTGTACTTCACAGTCAGCAGACACATTCCAGCCAATCAGCAGCAGACCCTCCCTCCCAGGCCCTCCCACCTCCTGGACAGCATCCATTTTACATTCATTGTGAAGCGGAATTCTTAGTGAGCTGTCCAGGAGGTGGGAGGGTCTGGGTGGGAGGGTCTGCTGCTGTTTGGCTGGAATGTGTCTGCTGACTGTGAGGTACAGGGTCAAAGTTTACTCAATGATGAGTCCGTGGCGAACCGTTCGGGACATCACTAATCTTAATACCATAATGACATTGGGAACGTTTTATAAAATATATTTAAGTATATATTATATTACAATTGAAGAATGGATCAACATTCCAATGCATGCACATAATTCGTGTCCTCATCAAAAAATATTAAAAGATTTAAGAACATTAGGTGGCAAACGTAGTATTTGTGGTTTAAATACTTTTGTACACATTATCATATCTTTAATGATATTAAATACAAACATTGTGTGTGTGTATATATATATATATATATATGTACATAGAAAAATGATAACAAGAAGAGCACTCCAGAGGACTTGTTTAAGTAGGTTTTATCGGTGTATAAACAAAATCGACATTTCGACCCGCAGGTCTTTATCAATAATCTTGATAAAGACCTGCGGGTCGAAACGTCGATTTTGTTTATACACCGATAAAACCTACTTAAACAAGTCCTCTGGAGTGCTCTTCTTATTATCATTTTTCTATTTATCTACGCTCTGTAGCACCGAGGCTATCTTTGGATGATTATCACTTCAAGGTAGAGTGCCAGATTTTGTATATATATTTATATATGTACATATATATATATTCCACAAATTGAGAGGTTTACTTGTAGGTCTTTTTCCAAGTGATTCTTTTGTTGTAATTAAGTTTAATCTTGAAAAAGATCCTTAGGAGTCAAAATGTCGATCGGGACAGATAACGTTCTGATAGAAACATAGAATGTGACGGCAGATAAGAACCATTCGGCCCATCTAGTCTGCCCAATTTTCTAAATACTTTCATTAGTCCCTAGTCTTATCTTATAGTTAGGATAGCCTTATGCCTATCCCACGCATGCTTAAACTCCCTTTACTGTGTTAACCTCTACCACTTCAGCTGGAAGGCTATTCCATGCATCCACTACCCTCTCAGTAGAGTAATACTTCCTGATATTATTTTTAAACCTTTGTCCCTCTAATTTAAGACTATGTCCTCTTGTTGTGGTAGTTTTTCTTCTTTTAAATATAGTCTCCTCCTTTACTGTGTTGATTCCCTTTATATATTTAAATGTTTCTATCATATCCCCCCTGTCTCGTCTTTCCTCCAAGCTATACATTTTAAGATCCTTTAACCTTTCCTGGTAAGTTTTATCCCGCAATCCATGAACCAGTTCAGTAGCCCTTCTCTGAACCCTCTCTAAGGTATCAATATCCTTCTGAAGATACGGTCTCCAGTACTGTGTACAATACTCAAGTGAGGTCTCACCAGTGTTCTGTACAATGGCATGAGCACTTCCCTCTTTCTACTACTAATACCTCTCCCTATACAACCAAGCATTCTGCTAGCATTTCCTGCTGCTCTATTACATTGTCTGCCTACCTTTAAGTCATCAGAAATAATCACCCTAAATCCCTTTCTTCATATGTTGAGGTTAGGACTCTATCAAATATTCCGTACTCTGCCCTTGGGTTTTTACATCCAAGATGCATTATCTTGCACTTATCCACATTAAATGTCAGTTGCCACAATTCTGACCATTTTTCTAGTTTACCTAAATCATTTGCCATTTAGCTTATCCCTCCTGGAACATCAACCCTGTTACATATCTTAGTATCATCAGCAAAAAGACATACCTTACCATCAAGACCTTCTGCAATATCACTAATAAAAATATTAAAGAGAATGGGTCCAAGTACAGATCCCTGAGGTACCCCACTGGTGACAAGTCCAAGCTTCGAATATATTCCATTAACTACAACCCTCTGTTGCCTGTCACTCAGCCACTGCCTTACCCATTCAACAATATTTGAATCCAAACTTAAAGATTGCAGTTTATTGATACAATAAAATAATCACTTGGAAAAAGATCTACGAGTGCACCTCTCAATTTGTGGAATATATAGTGGTACACTGGTTGCACCGAGGCACAAAGATTGAAATAATATTCAAAGGGTTGAGTGCCAAGGATATGTATATATATATATATTAAGGTCGTTTGGCCTGTAATTGTGGGAGGGGCTTATTATTTTAATTACCTACTTAAGGGAGACCCCTTACCTTACTCCATACCGTCCGAGGTCAGCGTTTTGAATGACCCTCCCACCACTCCACATACTCAACTCTTCCTTCCTTTCTTTCTTTCTTTCTTTCTTTCTCTCTTTTCCTTTTCTTTTTCTTTACTCCTTGGTGGGTCCTCTTTATTTACAGGCCTACCTCATCGTCGGTTCCGGCACACCAAAACCAACTTGCTCTTTTAAACTATCCTATGCTTATACTTAGTCTTTACTCCTTATACGGCTATGTGCCCCTAACACAAATATATATATATATGTATTTATCTGTCTGGACTACAGACAGCATAAAATTCTTATGTCTTAGGGGAAGTCATATATTTGGTATACACTGAGCTGTCAACAGTGATTTAACATACTAGAATGGATTTTGACAAATTATCAAGTTATTGTGAAAATCTGTAAAGGTTACCAGAGAAATATCAGCTCAATATGACAGGAGATTAAGAGAGGCTAAAAATGCATGTTTAACTTAGTCCCAGGTAAAAGTGCAGGATTACGAGCAATTTGTCAAGAAAACAAAAATACCTCTGAAGGGAAATTACATAAACTAACAGGTTATGGCAAATACAGGAATTATCGTTCCCTACATAGTGATATAGCGTACACTGTGTCTCTCTGACAATGATTGTAAGCTATTAAGATCATGTGACACATCAAGTGAATTGCCTCAGCAGAGATTGGGTTAGAGGAAACATCTTTGCTTCTTTTACAACACATAACTCATCATCTAGACAGAGCCTTTAAAATTGATAAGTTTAAATATTGTATTTTTTTTCCTTTCTTTTTCTCTTCGAGGCCAGTTAAATGATTCCTTAGATTTCTGTATAAACAAATATGTAAAAAGAATTACAAGTAACATTAATGAGAAACTATAGTGCCAGGAAAACAAAGTTGTTTTTCTGGCACTGTAGCTCCCTACAGTGCCCCCCTTCGTTGCACCTCCCCTTCCTGCCCAGTGGTGCAGAAGGGGTTAAAAAACATTTCTGTCACGTACCTGGTTCAAGCTCTGCCTCCGCTCATTCCTCGCTGACATCAGCTGGTGGGGGAGACCCAATACGCATGAAGGATG